AAAAAAAGGGGTTTTTTTTTTTTTTTTTTTTGGAGGTGGCGATGAAATCGAAGTGGAGCATGTGGATGTGGGCGATGATATTCCTGCAGTTAAATCGCCAATCTCTGCGAGGAACACACTGCCTGAAGAAGACGAAGAAGCAGCGAATACTGTAACGGAGCTCGATTTCTTCTCCTTTCCCCCTTGATTCCTCCGCCGCCGCCCTCCACCATTTCCCTTTTCGTTTCATATAAATTCCTCTTCTCCCTGCCACCCGCTTCACAATCTCTCTTCCTCCCCATCCGCTCTGCTCTCTACACATCGGATATGGCGACTGTTTTCCAGGGGCTTGCAGTTCGTACGCCTTTCTCCCCTCCCAATGCCTTAGATTCCAACAAATCCCTCCTTCACCCTCCCAGATCCCTCTCCGTTTCTGGTAATTTCTTTCTTCTTTCTCTTTTCTTTTCCTTCCATGCTTCTTGAGTCTCTTATACTTGTTTTTTTTTTCATTTGATTTAGACAGGAAGGGTGGGTTGTTCATTGTTCGATCTGAGGGAAGAACTAACCATGTACTCAGGCCTAGATCTCGCTCTGACCAGTTCATCACTAGTGCAGTTGCGGTTAGTTGCTTGCTTCCCCTCCTCCTCTCTTTCGTTTTTTTTTCTGTTTTTACTGCTTAATCAAACCCCACTTCGTTGTACTAAATTTATCTTTTTTGTTAGACCAAGGCTGATAGTTCCTCTGCTTCCACAGCATCGAAGCCAGGGTATGCTTCTCATCATTCCTGTAATTAACACCTGAACTTACTATACTTGACTTGATTATTCAAAGTAATAGAATTGCTGAAGCGTTGTTATTGTATTTGATAAGGGATTTGTGGGATGAGGGAATTATTTGATAATTATGTTAACTTTTGACTACAGTATTGGGAATTGGGATCTCTTTTCCTCTGAAACTGCATGATTTGTTTCGGATTTGGAAACTCTGTTGCAAACGCTTAATGCCTAAATATCTTCTGAGCTTTACTTTATTGAGCACTTCGCCACTATTGTTGTGGAAGGATGTGTTGGGGATAATAGGCCTGTGGTACTTCGCCACTATTTTAGAGCTATAGCCTTGTCTTTTAACATGGACCTTTCACGAGAAATTCAAGTCAACCATGTTGGACTTTTTCGAAGATGTTCT